TATTGAATAAGAAGACACATTGTGTTCGGTTGATATGGAGTGTTCGGATGAGTTAGTGTCGCGGGAAGAAATGACACGAGAAGAACAATTCAAATATGTGACCGTGTGTGTTGCTACGTGGGATGACTCTACGGCACGTGTGTAGTCAACACCCCTGACTAGCCGTTAACGAACATTGCCCAGATTGTGTCTTGGTTCTGAATCGTTCAGAACGCGTCATAAAGGAGGCGGTACGGCTGATGACTCACCGAAGGACAGAGCATCTTTGTCAAGCATATTCCGTTGATTACCTTATCATCTCTTTCCTTTATAAACCGATCAAATCTTGTCATAATCTTAACTCTGTATTCTCTAATTTCCGCATAAAACATCAAACCATATATATATATACTTGTACGTCAAGATTTAACTAAGCACGGTTCTTGTTTTCACCTTCAAATTTAATGTTAAGCTATAAGAATTTTCATAATTATTGTTTTGGTTTTTGGTTAGGTTGATACAATGATAATCAAAACTATTGGTTTGCTCGATGATCATGACAAAGAACTGAACAAGTATGCGAAGAGGGTTGGATATTGGTATGGATGTCATTTTCCCGAGCTTGATAAGATCATCAAAGACAATATCCTATATGTCAAATCAGTTAAACTAGACTTGTGATAGTATCAAGTGTGCAAAGAGTATATATATGAATTATACTTGTGATTAATGGTTGTAATGCAGATATTAGCGGATAAAGTTGAGGCGAAACTGAAGAAAGCGGCTTTGAAATCTAAGGGAAAAGAAGCTAGTGACCTCGAGTTAATGCGTATCCAGGAACTATGTGACGAGGTTCTTTCGCTTGCTGAGTACAGAGCTCAGCTTTACGATAAACTGAAAAGCGGAATGAACAAATGTTGCTCCCAATCTGATTGCCTTAGTTGGGGAGCTAGTTGGTGCTCGTATGATTTCTCGGAGAGGTAGTTTACAGAACCTCGCCAAGCTACCTGGGAGTACTATTCAGATTCTCGGAGCCGAAAAAACTCTCTTTAGAGAACTCAAGAAAAACCATGCCACGCCCAAGTATGGTTTCATTTACCACGCACCTTTGGTTCGTCAAGCAAAACCAAAGCATAAGGGAAAGATTGCGCGGTCATTAACTTCTAAAGCCGCTCTTGCCATTAGGTGTGATGCTCTTGGTGATGGGCAAAATAACACTATGGAACTTGTAAACCGTGCTAAGCTTGAAGCGAGGTTGAGAAATCTTGAAGCAAGAGATTTAGCTAAATCCAAAGCTAAAAGAGATTTAGCTAAATCCAAGTGTGAGACGGGTTGATGATCAGTTGGTGGAAAGCCCCCTTTGAGGAGATGAATAAGAGACAATTCCAACGATGATTCTCTTCCTGAATTTTCTGCGTTCTTGAATCTTGTCCAAGTCTTGAAAAGCCAATTTTTGGTTCTCTCTTTTAACTTGGAGGGGAAAATATTTGTTTCCTCTGTTTTTTCGATCAATCTTTCTTTGGCCTTTTTTTCTTTTCAAAAATCCTCTGTTTTGCTTTTTTGGTTTTTATTTTATTTTATTTCATTTCGGCTAAACAAAATCCAAACATTACATAGTTACATGTCAAATTCCGGCGAAGAACCAACGAAGAAGAGATTGAAGCT